CTGCTTGTCGCACGGCGTGTAGGTGGGATCTTCTTTATTATTGCTGTTCTCTCCTGGGATGTGTGGTAAAGCGCCGATCTGGCCTGTCCACGCTTTGGGCATAGAGCGGTAGATACGGTACCGATGGCTGAGAGAAAAAGGGGGACTTTGGGAACTGTTTAAGCAATGTATGAAGAGGAGACGCTATTTTACAGAGACAAGGTGACAGAGGACAGCTTGCCACGTTGGCCAGTGCCTGCATGCGTTGGCTTGTTTCACACAAACGGTAGTTTCTAGGTATGTGTTAGGCCCCGTTTAATTATTTACTGGCATCTGTGTAACTCTCTGTGTAAATTATGGGATGCCAAAGGTGTCACACAGCTTCGAGTCTCGCAGCTGAGGAGTTACACCTGGAAACGGGAGCACTGAAAATAGGAGTCTCAGAGTAATTAATAGGATACCCTACTCCTAGTTCAGGTGACTACTGTGCTTGTCAATAAATCTGTGGGAAAGGTTCTGTTTAGAATTATGGCTGAGAATTATGTGCCTTGGTCTCCATAACCATTGACTGGTGCAACAATATGCCTCATTGGTATGATAGGGGGATCAGCGTAATTCCAGTTATTAATAACATACTCCGTTTGAAAAGCTAGAACCAATCCTCTCCTTTTCTAACTAGGAAGATGTTGCCAGTGTAAAAAGAAAAAAAACAAATAAAACACAAACATTTAAAAATGCTTGTGTTCTGAATCGTGACAAAGTTGCAGTTTGTGGTTTCTCAGCAGCAGGCACTGCAGGCATGTTTTTAGTTTTAGACTATTAGGTAACGTGCTTAGGACAAAGCAGGTAACGCTGGTGGATATTTATAAGTGGTTATAACTGCATTTGGTGAAAGTTTTAACCCAGCCATTGGGTGCTTAGGATATGTCTTACTAGCTCAGGTATTTTCCTGTTTGGTCACAGACAATTAAAGTAATTGACAGGACTTCAGTTACTTAGGCCAGAACATACCAAGAAGAATTTTAGGCCTTGTTTAAAGTGATTATCTATTGTAGGTAGTATTTGGGGATTGTAATTTTAGATTGAACTGCCTGAAATATCTTTTTTTTTATTAGATTTTATTTTAGGTGTCTACATTGGGGAAGAGAAATTGGGTTCCCAACCAAACACAGCTGCTCTCATGCAGACTTCAGTACTGCATCTGTAATGAAAAGATGGATCTGGGATCACACTCCACTCTAAACCGTAAGTAGTTGCCAAACAGTCATTATGTTAAGATAATACAGAACATCTGCTAAGTCAAAAGAATCCACATTTATGACCAAAGGTGAAGAGTTGTGTGGTTCAGTAATGGCACCCTGAAGCGTTTAACTCCTCATAGTTGTATACATGAAAGAAAGATATTTGCTTTCTGGAAACATTGGCATATTAAAAAGTGATGCCAGGATTTAACAATGGGTTTCTTAGAGCTTCAGGATCCTGAGACCACTGACTGAGAATCTTAACTTCCTTTTTCAAATTAGTGTAAGCTTTTCATCCTCCTCCTAGTAACGTGAAGTCTACAGATGTGACTAGATATAAAAACATAGGCTGGAGCTAAAATGACACAAGAACACTGAGTATTTTTAATATAGATATTTTACCAGCTAATTCGTGCTCTTGAAAGTTTGGCCATGTTGCGTAAGTTTAGTTTTGCAATTGTTTGCCCAAGGGAAGACTGATTTTTGTATTTTTTTTTTAGGATTCCTCAAAATCCCCTACATTTGCTCTCATTTCAGTTGCAGAGCATAGATTTGTTTGTTCACCCGTCTTCACTTTCAGGAACGGTTGCCTAGGAACAGGTTTCCCATGAGCCTAATTAATTTTAACTGTGTCACCTTTACCGTCTGGCCAACTCTATCTCTCACCAAAAATCAGCCTGATTCATGCCTTGGGGAAGCAACAAATGTTTTACACCCTACCCCTCTCCGTTAATAATAAACCAAACAGGAACCTAACTCCTAAAGGCACCATTTTACAATACAATCGGGTATTTTTTTATACACAAGGCAGTGCCATTAAGATTTTTTTAATGTTTCCTACACACTTGTTTACTGTGTGCTCATGAGATGGGCTGAGTTTGACTCAACACCACACCAGCCTTAGACGTGGGCTGTGCCAGGAGCAGGTGACATGGCTGGCACAGGCCAGGCCACTTGAGGGGACAACTCACTGGCATCCCCAGCAGCGTCAGCTGAGGTGTGCTCTGGGTGCCCCTGGGTGCAGTCGCCTTCCTCATCAGGAAAGCAGGCGGGGCTATGGAGTTGGCAAAGCAAGAAGAGCAAGGCTCTGGGCTGCAATTTTAACAAAAATAGGTGAATTAAGTTTGTGAGTGGGACGTAGGACTTGAATCATATGCGATTAATGCAATATTAGCAAAAATGCATTATGTGGGCAGTTAACAAGCCCAACCATTAACCCAGCACTGCCAACTCCACCACTAAACCACATCCCTGAGCACCACATCTACAGATCTTTTAAATTAATACAGGGATGGTGACCCAACCACTTCCCAGGGCAGCCCATTCCAATGCTTGACAAAACCTTTCAGTGAAGAAATTTTTCCTAATACCCTATCTAAACCTCCTGTGACACAACCTGAGGCCATTTCCTCTTCTTCTGTTGCTGTTGGGAGTGTTGCCACACTGTTGGCAGCTTCTAGCTGTGGGTTAAAAAAAATCAGAAGAGTATTTGTTGTCATGCATAAATCAGACATAAAAACACATTATTCTGAACAAACAATGTTACATTAGGTAGCCCTAATAGCAGAGAAGTGTTGTCAGGTCAGAGGCTTAGCTTTTTTGGCTCACATTGAGTGTTCAGCCTGCAGCTTTGCTACACAAACCCCCTTCCTGTGGAAAATGGCTGTATTAAGCTCAGGGTGTGGGGGGTGCTACAGGTCTCCCACGAAGCCCTGTCGTGGTCACCCGGCGCCATTTGTTCCCGTAGGGAAGCAATGGCAGCAGTGTTGCTACTTTCGAAAATGCCGTTTCCACGCTTTGGTGCCTTTTTGAGGAAGGCGCGGTTCGGCTGGGTCCTGCTGACACAGACCAGCCCCGCGCTGGAATCCGAC